AATGGTCGAAATGATTTCGACCATTTCGACCATTTCGGATATCCGAAATGATCTATTTCGACTTCATGTATAATCTAAATGGTTGATATGTTCTATTAAAAAAATCAGAATAAAGAATCTATCATTTATCTCATAACGCGATCTGTAAATCATAGATTCTAATTACTCTATTTCCATTTTTGATCTTCTTTTTAATGACGCTCTATCATCTGCATATGAATAATAAATACAAAAAAGTTCGGGAGCCCTGCATGTGAAAAATAAATACAAAAATTCAGGAGCTATGTCATATGATAATCGTGAAGACTCTTCACACTTCCAACCAATAGAAGCGAATCTATAGGAGGCTTCAAGGGATAAAAGTCCAATTTGCCGTAACGAATTTGGAACACGAATAGCTCATCAACTAATGGTCCAATTTTGATGTGGATTGAACGACTAGATTCAGCAGGTTCTGAACTTCCAATATACAAATATTTGTGAATATCCGATCACTGGATGCGTAGCTATTCAGAAATTAGTAAAGCCAATTATTTTGGATATAATCACGAAATAAACTTGGAGAGGCCACATCGCCAAAGTGGCGTGAGAAGTGATGATGCTCTGGAAACCTACAAAATACTAGTTTTTGGTTCTGGGAACCTAAAGGAGGTGAGAAATTGATAGGTTGTTATGCAAGAATTCATAGCTACCCAGTGAGTCCCAAAATGAATTATTAGTACTATATAAGAATTGAAATTTCAACCGCCTACGAAACGTGATCCAGAAGTTGTAGAAACCCAATCCAGTTCGATCAGATGTAGGACATTGAGAGCTTCAAAACAAGCCAAGGTATGAAGACTTTGGATCACAGGAATCCGAAATAACCTTGACAGTTGGGAAATTTTACTGTGCCACATCATGGATTAGAAGTTAACAAATCGTAGATCGATTTTGCGAAACGTAATACTGTGGAACCGTCGCTTCCGGATGCTACGATCGCCACAAAACATGGAACAAATATGGCAACCCTAATGTCTGATTTTGATTTAGCTAAAAAAAAGTATACAATCCACCTAATAATTCTCCTAGGCGGATACTGGAGATATAATAGGACTCATCATTGGTGAGGTTTTCCTTTCACATTTTCCATCACGATAATAATAACCTCCATCATATCCACTGTTTCCATTATATTTATCATACCCATCATCATCTGAATCGTTTGGCATCTCTTCTTCGGAATCATTGTCGTGGCTACAGTCACTATCATCATCTGTCTGAACTTCATTAGTTCCTTTCTCCATTGACGGAGGCATAGGATCATCATAATATAAATCATCATAGTTATTAGCTTTGGGCGAATTATCTGGACCGATTCCTTTGGAATCACTTGAAGAATTAGAGACATGAATAGGTGCGGTTGGTACGCTTACCTCAGAAGATTCAGTCACGTGCGCGTTACAATTTGTAACGCCGATCACCCATAATGTACTGTATTTACAAGCCTGATGTGAATGCTTTATTATTTTATTAAATAAAAACTAGTACCAATATGCCGGATAAAAAGTTGTGTGAACTTTTTTATTGTTTTTTATTATGTAAATTACACGAAAAAAAATCATATTTAGTGACATAATAAAATCGCAAACTTTTACTAATATATTATGATTATAAAGAAATTTCTGAACCACGACCTCTTCCCCGACCTTTTCCCCGACCCCTTCCCCTTCCTCTTGTTACATTCCCTTGTCCATTACTATTACTAGATGTCTCTTTAGGTAAAAATTCAGCAAAAGTCACAGCTCTAGGCCGGCCTGGTGAAAACCCAGTAGCATATTTAGTTGTGGGTTTCATAATACGACGTTGTCCACTTCTTTCGAATTTCTTAAAATTTTCAATCTTCTTGATAACATTATATCGCAAACATAATAGTGTTCGAATTAGTCGAGGCACATGTTCCAAATTAGTAGCAGAAGTTGGAATAATGAGGTTAGGCATCGTAAATGGTGAAAATAGATATAAGCCTGGACCAATATAAATAATCTGACCAACCTCGAGCTCATCACCTGTAATAAATAGTATATTATATATTAAAATAAAGTAATGTATTCATGCTCGAAAATATTCTGAAAAATAGCTTACCAAATCCCTGAGCAAGGAAAATTCCCAATGTCTTACACATGTTCCATGTTGGCAGTCCTGTTTTTGTCATAAATTTGTTAAGAGCGAAGACGCCTTCATTCATTAATTTGAGTCTATCAGTATTAAACTTATCGGGATCCGGATCACCAGGGTCTCCAGAAACTTCAAGCAGAAACAACGGGATTTGTTTTGGACGTTCAAAGAATTCAGCTACTCCATCCGCTCTATAATCTGTGGGCTGAGAATCCATCTTCGTAGAAATAGTCCGCTCACATGAAAAATATTGCACAGAATCAAGAAAACTAAATGTAATAAAAAAAAGATAAGCTAATATATGCGATGTCCATGATCGTTCAGTAGTGTTTTTCACAATTCCTTTCATTTTAGTGACAGCATCTAAATGACTGGAAACGCTTTTAATAATATGTACATCTGTAAATTGAGATTGATCGTAGTCTTGCACCGGAATGGGAATGGTGTTTGATAGGAATCGAAGTTTTTTGGCTGTTCCATTCAAACTATGTGCTATTTTTCCCATTTCAGAAACAGCTTCGTCTTCAATTTTGACACCATTTTCAGCAACATCCCCCGCATCCTCTTCTCCCTCTTCTTCCGAAGAATCTTCTATAATTTGATCAAACAACGTCATATATTCACGTGCAGTCTTACTCATATGTTCATTTTCATCCTCTAAAGACAATCTCTCGAACAGCGATTCTAGTTCATATTCGTCCAAAAGATTATGTACTTGATTTAATATATCTTTGTCTCTTAAATCTAACACAAAATAACTCGCTCCGGCATTACAAGTGTGCCATATGGTTTTGAGTTTATCATAATACGTTGGGAACTCGATTTGCTTGAAGGTATTAGATACTTCATTCACTGAGTTTAACAAATCTTCTTGAGAGATACGTTCTTCAACCGACTCTTTTTCATTTCTATTTTTGGTCTGTATGCACATCCAAAAGTTAAGAAAAGATTTGAGAGTAATTCATATGTATTAATTATTATCTGCAGGTTATTATTTATGTACTTACCTTTTTAGAAGCAATTGCCTCTTCATTTTCATGAGGTCGCTTGGAGATTGGGATTTCATCATTTATCGCTTCTTCAGTCCACTTGTCAATTTCTGCATCGACAACCGTGGCAACACCTTTTTGGTATTTCGTGGTGCTCATTTGCTTATAAAGAAAACAGAAATTGTAGTGATCTGATTTTGTAGTAGAAAGAAAGCAAGGATCCAATAAATATACACTCACAAACCGAGCTTTACGGTGGATATCCTGTTTGTCACAGCTTTGTTGAATAAATTTTTTTTTCCACATCTGTAAAAGCAAAAGAAACATAGTATTAATTTAAGACTTATAAAAATCAGCTTCGAAAATGGTTACGAAAGAGTGGAGTGGTTTAGGTCCGAGTAACCCACAGTCCCCAGACTTCCAAACTTCAGTGACCCACAGCCCCAAAGTTGCCACCGATCAGGATCATATGAGTGACCCGCAGTCCCCATATGTCGCAAGGAAGTGACCCACAGTCCTCCTCACCTTCAGATACTTACACCTCTAAACGAGAGGCGCCATCCCTCTATAATTATATGTTTGTATATACATTAAAAAAATTATTTACTTACATCCCAAGTGTCCCAAATATTCTCCAAAACTCGCGTTGTATCCGTATTAAAAAAATTAGAATCAATAATTTCTTCCAGGTCTTTGCTAAGCGCGTCGTATATTGCTGAAAGGTTTTTGTCCGGCCATTCTTTCCGATAATAGGCGAACATGTCATCGGCGGTTATAGAACAGTTGATCGTGGATACTACCTCGGGTTGAGTAAGAAATCTGAAAAGGGGCCTATTTAAGAAGGATGTTTTATTTTCCACTGAAAACACAGGAGTATAAAAAGTTAGTCAAGACGCGATAGTTCACCAGACGAATGACTTCTCAAATACTTTCATACTTTCGTTAGAAAAGAGAACTCGTGTTAGTCGTGTAGTCTGCAAATACCGTGTCGCCATACCATCTCTTATATGTATGTGTAACAACTGCGCATTTTTTTCAGGTGATCCGTGATCTCACATGACCGGTCTATGCTACAATTGCGAACTTGAATTTATTACTTGAAGTGTTGCAGGTAAGACAATATTCCAACTCATCTTGGGAATACAACTTTGCTAATTCAGGATCATAAGGGAGCTGATTC